ATATACTTAATTGGATCCATTTTGGAAATCAACCAAGTAGTGTGATTCAACATATATTGTCGTAACCGCTTTTCCGCCCAGGCCAAAGCATAACATGTTTTTTCCAGAATAGAATATCATGACTCATAGTCAACAAACTTCTTGCTGAGATGATAAATTTCATATATTCTTTTCTCCTTATTTCATCTTATTGTCCCAAAATACAACCCATAAATTATCTAACACCATCAGATACATAATCAATGGTCTTCCTTCAACAGGAGGGAGAAAGATAGGAGGTTCAAGCAGATACTCCTTAATGCTTTCAAATTCCTTTTGGCAATCATCTGTCCACACACAACCATGATCTTTCTTTAACAACTTAAAGATCGGTTCACACGTTGCATTCATATGGGAAATAAATCTGCACTACGCCAAAAATGATTTTTTGTATCACCTAATTTAATAGCACTTTTAAAAAAAATGCTATTAAAATGGAAAAAACACATTTATAATAGCACTTTTTAATCGGGCGCTATTATATAATACAGACTATGTAATTATGATAGCACTTTGTACCAGAACGCTATTATTAAACTTCTTTAAGATAGCATTTTGTATAAAACGCTATTATTTGACTACCTATATAATAGCATTTATTAAAAAGCGCTATGTTATATATAATAATGAATTAATTAATTAATTGATAAAAAAAAAACAAAACACATTTTCAGAAAATACTATCTTCCCGCATCCACTCACCGCATCCACTCACCGCCAAAAACAAAAACACTATCTTCCTCTGCTTCCTTCTTAGCCATTGATTCTCCCAACTGATTCACCGCCGTCAAATCTTCCTCTGCTTCCTTCGGTTTTCATTGATTCACCGCCGTTAGTCATTGATTTACCACCGTCATCCCTTCCTTCGGTTTTCACCCGGATCCATTCTTCAGCCATCAGATTCACCATCGATTCAGATTCAGATTCACTTCTCAAACGACACTCAAACAGAAGGAGGAAACACCGAAAAGAAAGAACAACCAAATCTCATTCTCCGTCGAACTCAACCCTTTGTCATCTCACCTACGTTGTCGTCATCCCTCTCTTCATTTGTATCCGGTAATATTTCTTTTTTCAGTTTCTGCTATCCGTTGATTCTCTGTGTTGTTTGTGAGCGTTATGATGTCTTTGTGTTGACGGATATTCGTGATTTTGAGTAGCTGTAATGAGGGTTTGTGAGGTTAAGTTGCAGTTGTGAGGGTTCGTGAAATTTGAGTGATAAGGCTTGTGTTATTGATGTGTGCCTGAATGGTGAGAGATGAGCTGGTTATTGATGTGAGCAGTTGTGAGTAGTGGCATGAAGTGTAAGGTATTTGGCCATTGAATTAGTTTTAACTAAGGTCTATGTGTTGAAGTTGTGTGCAATTTTCAATTTCTAGTCCTAGTTAACCGTAAATATCAATGTTGAGAGAGATTACACGGTGAAAAGAGTTGTATTTGAGACCAGCCCATGAGTATGGTTTTGAATGAGAAGGAACTCATGTTGAGTTTATGAGAGGCGGAAGTGATATCTAGTGGGAATTGAATGATATAAGTGTTATGCCATCTGAGTTGAGTGCAGAAGAAAGAATGTAGACATGGAAGAAGGAAGAGAAGAGAGGAATGAAGTTTTATGGAGAGCAAAAAAGTCAGTACATTGGTTGAAGATGAGTTGAAAAGTTTGTTCTAGTTTGAGTGATAAGGCTTCTGTTGTTTTGGTGTGATTTAGTCACAATTAATCGATTCTTCTTTTCAATCCAAGCAAAAATTGGCATTTCGTTAATGTTGGATGTTTTTTTTATTTCAGGAAAAACTTGATCAATGGCTCTGTAGACAGCAAGAGGGTGGATCAAGACTTGCAAACTTTGATATAATTAACAACATTCAGGTTGGTTTCATCACTATTCTATGTTTTTCATACAATGTTGAGGTTTTATTATTGTTCTCTGTTTTATCATTGTCTTTTGACATGATTCTCAATCCTAAACAAATGAGTTTAATCAACAACAATGGTCACATATTAATCTCACTATGGTTTTTGCTCCACTTTAGCTCTAATCTTTTACTCCAAAACAGAAACCTCAGTTTCAAGACCAAACATTCTATTCAAAGCATGCATATTCTCAAGTGTTTCACTCAAAGTCCTACTATCACTCCCATCACATCTCAAATGTTGCATTGGACCATGAAGCATTTTATTCACTATACCTCTACCAAGATCATCCACTGCTTTTTGTGTCTTCTTATTTATATCCTCATCACTCATTTTACCTAAACATTTCTCAACCTCAGCAATCCTTAACCTTTCAGCATAAGCTCTCAGTTTCTTGATAGTAGGAACAGTTTCTAACGAGTCTCTCCATGCTTCGAATTGGCCCGATTCTTCGCCGATGATCACTTGTGCTTCCATTGCTTTTCTTAGTCTGTCCTCTTTGTTAGCAGCCACTACCTCTTTAAGGTTGTCGACATGATTGTATGCAGTCATGCATTGAATAAAATTAGCAAATCTGGTATTTTTATTTGTTTATAGGAAAGATAACAGAGTTTATCCACCTGATAAATGTTAATTCTCCTTGCTGTTAAAGCAATTAATGTGAGATATTTAAGTGGAGAGAGAAAACATGTCTAGCTTTCTTTGTTGATACTGAAACATATGAATAGTAAAGATCCCTCTTTGTTTTATATTCACTTTTGTTTTAATGAATGAGTAATGAGTTGGGTTGCCTGCTGCAGTTCTGTCATATGTGGATGCTTTTGTCCCTAAGGCACATAAAGAGATACTTCGAATTACTGCTTAGTGCTGAGATTTTAGTAAATTAGTAACAGTTCATTTGTCTTGAAATTTGATGAAGTTTATACTCACATATTTCTATGTGTATATTCTAGATCCCATTTTGTTATGTACTACACTCTTTTCCTTTTCTTTTTCAGGAGAAATGGGCCCCGATTTCAGCTCAAAAATGGCTGTGAAGTCTCTAACATCACAGCAACTAGTACGCATTCATCAGTTGTTTCGTCAAGCCAAATTTGATGATCCCAGTGGTCATGTAAGTTATGAAGTCTATTATAAACCATTTTCTTTACATTCATCACACATTGTTCCATAATTAACTTTTTCATTATGTTACTCACGTCATTGCTTATGTCCTTACTGTCTATTATCAGTGTCTTAGCCCTGCTGGCGAATACAATCTTCGATTAGGAATTATAAAAGAACTTCACCCGGACATGGTTGCAACATATTTTGGCAGGTTGTGATTCAATATCAAAGTTTTGCTAGTTCTTACTCTTACCTAAAGTTATTGCTTCTTGTAACCATTCTTTTTAATCCTTCTCGCTGTGGACCGTCACAGGCATTTAGCTTACTGTCTCTAATTCTATCTGATCTTTCTGACCGTGTTATAAAAGTTCTGAAGGGTTTATGGATGCCCTATAGTAGAGGCCCATTAGAGATGTTTTTAATGTTAGCTACCTGCTTGGCTTTTCTGGTAATAGATAATTCAGTATGCTTAAAAGTTATTTTCCTGTGACTACTACACAGTGCTCAAGTTTTTGAAGGCCACCCTTTCATTGTGGAAGCAGGAATCAGTATAGGTGGAAAAGATGTCAAATAAGTTAAGTTTCACTTCCAGCAATATTTATTGTTAGATAGCAGTTAAGTTTGAAATTCATGCGTGCTAAAAATATCTTTTCTGAAAGAAATAGTTGATGTCAATTACTATGGTCTTGTCAAAGTAGCATACTGAACAGCCTCCTCAATAAAACCTGCATAATTGAGTGTCAATTACTATTGATGAACGGCCTCCACAATAAATCTTGCAATTATGGACTGTAGGAAAAGAAATGTCCTTGAGGTTCGAAGGCATGTTTAGTACCATACTTAGCTTGCACTTACCGACTGAAGGAAAAGATATGTCTTTGACTTTTGCCATCTTTTCCCTGTTTAGCAGATCCCTTGTGTATTCTGATTGAGTAAGTAGAAAAGCACCATGACGAAGCTGTTTGAACTTTGACATCAACTCCCAAAAAGTGATAAAAAGATCCTAGGTGTTTAAGTACAAATTATTAACTAAACTTGTTGATCAAATCATTAACAAGGGGAAACTATAATAATAGTGTAATCCATGTAGATAAAAACAGAGAGGCAAGTGGTTGCCTTAAAGAAAATGAATAAATAGGGATCACATCACAATGATAGAATTGAACTCAAACTGTCACAAGGTAGATATGATTCGTTCATACTCAACATTAGGTGTTTGTGTAAGGCCATAGAGAGCCTTGTTAAGTCTGCAAACCAGTAATTTATTGGGTGCTTCAGACTTGGGAAGTTACATTATGTAAACCTCTTCACGAGGGTTCCCCATTGGGAAAGTCATTATTAACATCAATATACTAAATGGTCCATCTACTGATGAGTGCCAAAGTTAGAGTTACCCGAGACGGATAAAGTCTGAGATTGAGTTGCTGATAAAATCCCTATGCAACCAGGGGAGCTTTTGCACTTGTATGGTAGCTGGATGTCTCTAGCTTACTTTTTTTGCAGTAGTTGAATGTCTCTAGCAAAGCTGGGATGTCCACTCCTCTTCTACATAACAGAGTATGCTGACCCAGTACATTTTATCAGTTCAGTTACCGTAGTTATGATTATGTTATGTTTAATGAGCTAGGTAGCTTTTCTTAGGTTGATATCTATATAAACCTGGATTGTACATACAAGCTATTATGAAATTGTTTTACTAATTAACCGATTCTATTTTTCTGAAGTTCTCTTTCAATGCACACTCATGTCTATATTTCAAAGCTTGTTAGAACTCTGAAGAGCTAGTTATACAGTGTCATGTCATTGTGTTTTTCGACAATAGTAAATTATTAATGGTTTGTTCTGACAAATATACAATATTTATTTTCAGGGTTTGAATATATTTCGTTTTGCCAATAGATGTATAAAACAAGATGATTGAGATAAATTTGTAGCCCAACATATGACTGCAAAGTTTCAGGTAATACTTTTATCACTTGGATATGGATCCTTAAAGTTTTGCATGATTATAGTATTAGTGATAGTGTTGTGGGATGCATTTTTTATAATAAATGCAGAAAGTTAGTGATGAGAATCGAGAAAGAGCGTTAAATCCTCAACATCCCTATAGAAAGTCACGTTTAGGGTGTGCTCGTCTTGAAGCTGATATGGTAAGTATGTGTATAAATGTACTATACAATATTATAAAAAAAATTTAATTGCTATGTTAATTTGTAAAAATGTATATACAGGTAGAAGAGTCAGAAGTTGGTGAGATAAACCGTAGTCAAGTGTGGAAGGCTGCCCGCGTCAATAAGAGCGGGGTGATTGATAATGAGAATGTTCAAAGAGTTGTGGATCAATGTGTAAGTCGAATTTTAGATGTGACACTATAGATGTTATTTCCAAAATGCTCACATTATAGATGTGACACTTTTTCTATACTCATCATTGTTACCGAATTTGTATTTTGTTAGTTAGTTTGAAGTCATTAAACTCGATTTTCCTTAATTAATTGAGTCTTTGTGTCTTATTTTGATAGAATAGCCATTAATTGCAACTTGTATCTAACTATTGGTTATTTCTTTTATACTTATCAATGTCAGGAGAAGTTAACAGAAGCTCTATCTGAAGAAGAGAGACAAGACCTTGGTCCCACAAACATATTATTTGAGGCTCTTAATCTCCCAAACTACTCTGGACGTGTTAGGACTTATGGTTTTGGGGTATGTTCTAGGGACATATTACCACGCCAAAATCGCCCCACACAAATGGATTTTGAAAAATTGTATGGCTTTTGTAATTCACTCAAAAGTAGATTGGAGGTGCTAGAGAGAGAAAAGATTGAGAGAGATAAGTTGGATAGAGAGAAGCTAGAGAGGCAACAAACTGAAGAAGTGGAAGAAAGGCAACAACCTAAACAAGTGTCAGAGAGGTTGCAACAACCTGAAAAAGTGGCACAGAGGCAACACCTTGAACAAGTGGTAGAAAGGAAACAACCAGAAAAAGTAGCTGAGAGTCGACTACCTAGTGATAAAGGTTCTTGCAACCCTGGATCATTTGGCAACATTCCCGAGGTAATTGGTTTCTTTATTATCTCTCAAATTCGATATGTTTGTTCTTTCAATAATGATGTTAATCTTTTTATTCATATCTTATTGGTTTAGGGTCTCTTTCCTGTTAATATATATTTATCCTCCCCGAGTCGTTGTTTGGTTGCTCGTGGAAAACTATATAACACCAAAGGTAACACGGTATATGGCATGACGTTACCACCTGGATATGTCAAGGTTAATATCGAAGTTGCTATTGTGCCAAATGCCCCATTGCCTATATCTGTTGAAGATGGAGATGTATCCATGGTTGGTCAAGCAATAGGAACAATTGTGCCATGGCCAACGAAACTTCTTGAATTTGTTGCTGAATGTGAAAAGGTAAATTACTTATAATCAAGTTGCTTGATCGTTCCTATTCTTTACATGTTGAATTAGTTTTTATTGTACAATACATAATCAATATTCCTTCTATGATACAGGAAAACAAGAAGCAATTATTTTGCCTAATTAGTGATTGTATCTATGAGTTCAACGCTTTTGGATCATGAAGGTGGTTACTACATGGGATTGTTTTGTTATCCTTTCTTATTTTTTTGGTGTTTTGTTTAGAGAATTTGATTGTATGTTTTTGGATTTGGATTGAAGTACTCATAGATGGGCATCTACAAATTTGGCTATGCAAACGCCCTCTTAATATTCTATATGTTATGATATTTGGAAACAATAGGATTTGGTAATTTAAAATGTTATTTGGTATTTGATGGATCATAATATATATGCAATGAGTAACTTAAAGCGTTATTTGTGTTGAATTGAATATAGTTATTTTATATTTACACCAAAAAAAATGATTGTGTAAGAAAAAATATTGTACTGTACTTATTAAAAATATTGTACCAAATATGTACCATTTATTAGCACTTTATTTGAAAGCGCTATCAAACATATGTTATATATTAGCGCTTTTTGTTTAGAGTGCTATAAAAAAACAAACAAAAAACATGCAAAATACTGACTTTGATAGCACTTTAATTAAAACGCTATTATAAATTGGTACTTTAATAGCGCTTTTAAAGTGCTATTAAATAAGAAATATTTACAATAGTGGCGCGGTTAATAGCACTTTTAAGCGCTATCAAAAACAAAAAAAAAGCGCTATTAAATAGCTTATTTGGCGTAGTGCTGGAAATGTATTTCAAACGCCCGAGGAAGCCTTTAACTTGCTTTTCAGTTCTTGGTGTAGTCATTTCTTGAATTGCCTTAACTTTATCAGGGTCAACTTCAATTCCTTTCTGGCTGACAATGAAACCTAACAATTTTCCTGATCGGACACCAAAGGTGCATTTATTTGGATTCAAGCGGAGAAAATACTTCCTAAAACGCTAAAACAATTTCAACAAATATTCTATATGCCCTTCTTCAGTCTAGGATTTGGCAATCATATCATCAACGTATAATTCAATATCCTTGTGCATCAGATCATGGAATAGGGTTGTCATATCCCTCTGGTACGTTGCACCAGCGTTCTTCAACCCGAAGGGCATCACTTTGTAACAGAATGTTTCCCAGGGTATGATAAACGTTGTTTTCCATGTTCTCAGGAGCCATTCTGATTTGATTGTATCCGGAAAATCCATCCATGAACGAGAATACTTTGAATTTTGTTGTAATCTCAGCCAACGTATCAATATGTGGCAATGGAAAGTCATCTTTTAAAATAGCTTTGTTTAGATCTCTATAATCTACACACATGCGAACTTTTCCGTCTTTCTTTGGTACTAGGACATTATTGGAAATCCATTGAGGGTACACTGATGTCACAAGAAAACCGACATTAATCTACTTTAGGATTTCTTCTTTAATTTTTACTGCCATTTCAGGGTGAGCTCTTTGCAGCTTTTGCCTGATTGGCGAGCATTCTGGCTTTAACGGCAAATGATGTTCCACAATATCAGTATCCAACCCCGGCATGTCTTGGTATAACCAAGAAAAGATATCCACATACTCTTTCAATAATTCAATTAACCTGCGCTTCACATCGGGATGAAGCAATGCTCCAATCTTGACTTCTTTTGGATCTTCCTCTAAACCCAAATTGATCATCTCCAACTGCTCTTTATAGGACTGGATGGTACTTTCCTCGTGCTCAAGCAACCGTGAAACCTCTTCTGGGATTTCATTATATTCTTCTTCTTAGGCCACATATGCAGAATATTCAAAGTTGGGAGAGGATGCAGGGTTATTGTACTCAACATGTTTTTTAATTAATCTGCACATATGATTTATGATTGATTTTAGAAACTGACACATATGGCAAGTAATTATGCAGATTTATTTACAGTTATTATTTATTGTGAAAGGATTTTTTTGATTACCATTTTCCAGGAAAAGCAGAGAAAAAGACACAATTTGGGAATCAAAAACAACTTTTATTAATGATTTTAAAGATCAAAACAACAGATATGCCCATACAATGTCAATACTTTCACCTTGGGCAGAGTGAAAGATTTTTGAAAAGATTAACAAAAAAAACAAATTACTTTGAAATATGAATACAAGAAGGAACATCGACATTGATCTAATTTTGGACTCTGACTCCATGTGTCACGTAGTTCGGCATCTCTTGCTCTGATTCACCTTCCAAAATAGAATTAATCTTAGGATTAGTTGGATGAAGATAACCTCCACTGTGAAAGATGTCTTGATATTTGCCCAAAGCAGACTTCAGCTTCATAATCTCACCTTTATCATTCTTCAGGGAGAAACCTAAACCAACTCTATTTTTATTCACATGTGGATCAACAATCTGCCCCCACGCCTTGCTAAGGCCATCATGCACTACCTTTTGAGCATCCTTAAATGAAGCTATATAATCCTCATTTTTCATTACATTATCAATAGATAAATCTTGGAACTGAGTTCCAACAGCAACTTCCACAACTCTAAAAAAAGACAAATGAGATATTAACAAAGCCTACTCTCCATTCACGATGACTATCTTTCCTTCACGAACAAAGTTCAACTTCTGCTGCAAAGTTGAAGTAACAGCTCCTGCCTCGTGGATCCATGGTCATCCCAATAAACAGCTATAGGCGGGAATAATATCAATAACCTGGAAAGTAATCTGAAAAAAATGCGGGCCTATGTGAATAGGCAAATCTACTTCTCCGATGACAGACTTCCTAGAACCGTCAAAATCTTTCACAATTATGCCACTCGGGTGCATGGGAGTTCATTGGTACTTAAGCTTCATGAGTGTGCTCCTTAGTATGACATTTAAAGTAGACCCATTGTCAATCAGCACATTGGATAAAGAGTCATTCTTACAATTCATGAAGATATAGAGAGCCAGGTTATGGTTCCTTCTTTCATCGGGAAATTCGTCATCACAGAAACTCTGGTTATTACAAGATGTAATATTCCCCATAACACTACTGAATTGGTCCAGAGACATATCACTTTCCGCAAAAGCTTGATCCAATACTCTCATCAAATATTCCCTATGGGAAGAAGAGTTCATTAGCAATGCTAGAATGGATATCTTAGATGGGGTTTGCAACAATTAGTCTACAATCTTATAGTCACTCATCTTGATAATCTTCAACAAGTCGTCCACATCTTTTTCCAAAGCAGTGCCGTTAGATTCTCCCACTTTTTTCTTAGGTTCAATACTTTCAGTAACCCTTTTATCAGAATTAACATTCCCTTGAGTGACAGGTGCAAAAACATGGCCACCATGGGTTACTCGAGTAGTTTCACCAATATTCTTGACATCAGACAAAGGTTGGATAGGAATCTCCACACCATCCTCCAGGATTATCGCATTGTATTTATATGGAACATCTTTGTCTGATTCATATGGGACAAGACTCGACAGGAAAATAAACACTGGAGCAACAACTGGCTTGCTATGGTACTCAATCTCTATAGGTGCGGGAACACCAAAACACGGCACAATAACATCCACCCCTTCTTCAGAATACTTAGGCATCACATAATCATTATTAGTGAACATATCTTCATCAGAAGAAAAGAACTCATCTGCAGAAACATACTCATCGTTTGTCACAATCTCGGCTGAGCAATCTTCAATCACATTAATTTCATTGTAGTCATCTCTATTTCCCGAGACTTTGATAGTACCATTATCTAAAAATAACTGAACGCCATTTTTCACAATGGACCAACCACGAGAATCCCTGCAGCATATCTGGCAAGACCCATAATGTTGTTCTTCTTAGCCATCCATGTGACAGAATGTAGCGTGTAGCTGCACCAAACCATCATTCATATAATTCATGTCAAAAACACAGAATTCATCGGGACATCCATAGACCATATTCACATCATCTTCGTACTCTTCCCTTGGCCTAATTATATGAATGAGGCCTTCGTCCATCATTTCTTGGAGATCAGCTTTTATCTTATCACATCCCTGGATATTTATACTGCAAATACTACAACCATCATGGTCGTGCGTATAGTAGCTGAATTCACAGAGGTCAGCGTGCATCTTCACTAGATTCCCTCTAACCAGGTTGATATAAAAAATTCGGAAGTCCCTGGGATAACCAGCAACCATGTTTACAGCATTTGCACCCCCATGTTTAGGCAAATGATTATATTTCACGTTAGGGCCAACATCTTTAAAGGATAGGAGGCCAGATCTCACCATCTTTTGTACTTCAGATTTCAAAGGATAATAGTTCTCGATGTTGTTCCCTGGGGCTCCTTGATGAAAAGTGCATGTTTGATCTGCCTTATAATACCAGGGTAAAGGTGAATGTATAGCAGGGGGAGGCCTGGTTTGGACCAACTTCTTCTGAATCAAATCCGAGAATAACTCCACATAGCTTATTAGAATAGAGTCAAATGCTTCTCTATTCTGACTTTGCCCTTGATTTCCCTGAGGAGGTGTCCTCTGATAGACAACAGTAGTTGGAGCTACATTGACAAATGGAGTCACAGAAGCAACATGTTGCTGGTACCGATGATGCATTCTAGGTGGTTTAATCTTCCTTTCCCCAATAACAACATTCGTTTCACTTTCTTTCTTTCTAGAAAATCCGTTTGATGACTTTTTTGTTCCTTCGCATTTCGTCATGCGTCCTTCCCTGACAACTTCTTCTAAACGAACACCATGCTTACCATTTCGGTGAAATCACTTAGCGCACTGACGACCATACTTTCATAATAAAATGATCCAAGGGTTTTCAGGAAGACCTTAGTCATTTCTTGTTCTCCCATAGGTGGTACCACTTGGGTAGCTATCTCGCGCCAACGCTTCCCATATTCTTTGAACGACTCCTTGTCTCTCTGAGCCATCGCCCTCAATTGGTCACGGTCGGGCACCATGAACATATTATACTTATACTGCTTGATGAAGGCTTCCCCTAGATCATTGAAGGTGCAAATATTGCTACTGTCCAAACTCACATACCACTTAAAAGCGGCACCGGTTAACCTATCCTGGAAGAAATGAATAAGAAAATGTTGATCATCAGTTTGGGTGGACATTTTTCTGATATACATCACCAGGTGGTCACGA